TCTCTCTCTCTCTCTCTCTCTCTCTCTCTCTCTCTCTCTCTCTCTCTCTCTCTCTCTCTCTCTCTCTCTCTGATAATGGACAATAATAATGACGTAGATCATTTCAAACTTCATTATTTATCGCGTGTTTCCACCAAACAAGTTCTTCACATATCAACAGACATCCTGTGCTCCATATTAATATAACATGGGTTTCATCCACACACAAATCTGAATTGAATACAAATAATGGTGTAAATTAGCGAGGGGGGTCTGTAAACTATGGCTTCTCTTTTAACATGCATCGTTGTTGTGTGTTTTCCAGAGCGGAAGCTGCGAGTGCGCCTGTTCCCTGCCAGAGTGCGATACTGTTGAGTGTCTGTGCTTTAGGATCCAGCTGAGACAGCCGTTCGACTCCAGCAGGTGAGACGAGCAGATGCTGACATGCGTAGACACCGTAACATGCAGACACCATCACATGTGGACAGTGTCACGTGCAGACACCATTGCTTGCAACCACGCAGTGCGACCTGTCTTAAAGCAGTGCACGATGGGTAGATTCTCCAGAATGCTAAGAGGAATGCACAAAGTAGCAGTAGAATGAAGTGTCGCATGATGTTTGCAAATAATGCTTGCAGTTACTAGCTGACAGCCAGTGAAGCACAAGTTGGAATATCGGTGTTGAAATATGTGGTTGCAGATAGTTACTTTCGTTGCATCAAGATCACTGTGATTACACGTGTTTTGATTTTGCTGTCGATAGATAGCTGAGATGGGAGCAGGTTTTCGAATTTTAAGAGCATTATATTGCTAGAGTGCATTTGGAGATGCACAAAATAACAAATGGTTCACCCATCAATCAAAAACTGGGACTTTGGATGGAACTGTAGATATACTTCAGGTATAGAGAAACAACTCCATCCCGTTCCAGCCCGTGTGTGAATACCCTTGTCAAATCAGTTAGTTGGCATCTTTGTGATTTGAGTCAGTGGTGATGATGTTAATGGTATTATACAGAATTTATGAATCTCACCAGCATTGTGTGGCAGCACTCCTACATGATTGTTTGTAACCAAGGTTTTAGTGAACATTAATCAGTGTTATGGCAAACACAGCTGTCATAAACTTTTTTGAGAGTCCAGTTTATTCGTCCATGATGTACAGAATGTATTCAATGTATTGGTATTGCAAAATACTTACAACTTTCTATGATATATTTTTTGGGTGGTATGCACCAATAAACCTAATAATGCATATTTTCAGTTTTATTTGTGAATAAATGTGCGGATGAAAATTAGAACAAGTTATGTAGCTGTGTCATTTATATTTGATAATTTAATGTTATTTTAAAGCATAACAGGTGTTAATAGGGTGCAACAGTTATAAGCAAACACAAAAAATAAATTACATGGTTCCACTTCCATTTTTAGGTAAATTAAAGTTAATCACTCTACGCTATTTACTTTAACATCAAATGAACGTTATAAGATGAAGTCATCAACCATGGCTATTAATGTGCTTGCAGATAAAGAGGCAAATTAATTACAAATCGCCACTTCATCAACCTATGATATGCTCATACACCTCAGTATAATCTGGGGGGAGAAGTGCTACTGTTACGTTGTCTCAGTATGTTAATGCGCCATAGAGAGCGGTGTACTCGATGCGAATTTTGCGCTCACGCTACCGGCACGGTAAAAAGGATAGCTATTGACATTGTACGTTGTCTCGTGCCTTTTGTCACCGGATGGCAGGATGCCACTGGCAATGCTAGCCTCCGCAAAGGAAAACCTGTGTGGCGGCGTCAGCTCGCGGTTGTCGGTGAACGCGAGGCGTGCCGGGCGACCCTTGAGAGGCGGCGCGGTACACGGCATGAAGACACGCTTGCTCGCGTTGAGCGTGGGGCTGAGAACGTACACGCACGGCCGGCCGCCACACGCCGAGTGCACGCGCTGCCTCCACGCGTTGTGCACGCCCCGGCGGAGCAGACTCGAGTGCGCGCCGTGTCGCTGCGGCCGCCTCCTGCTGCCGTCGGCGCTCATAACAAGTTTGCGCGCCTTGCCGCGGCTCTCGCCAGAGCTGCGGCACCGTTTCCGCCCGACCGACGCAAAGCCGTTCTCTCTTGGGGCGCCGAAATGATTCCTGTGTCGCGCTCTCCTGACGGCGGCGAAATGCTGCACTCCTGAATGGTTTTTCGGCTGTGGCTTCCTTTGCGAAACGGAGGTGATTGCGCGCGGGAAGAGGGCAAGGTCAGATAGAGAGGAGCACAGAGGAGGGACGAGGAGAAAGACGCTGTCCGACTCGGACGGTGCTCGCGCTGTGTTCATGTCGGGGAAGGAGAAGAGTGCAAGTGGGCTGACTGAAGGTGGCATCCATGATGGGTCAGGAGTGACGCAGGCTTGCATGGCCGCTGCCGTCGACTGCTCTCCATCTTTCTTGGTAGGTGTTCCTTCTTTCGTTGCAGCTGCATCTTTCGTGCTAGTCCTGCTTGTTCTGCGGACGTTTAATTTTGGCACGGTGAGACAGTCCAAGCTGCTGGTACGCGAGGCGTCTGTTGACTTTGCCCTCCTGCACTTTTGGAAATCAAGCCAGGATAGGAGTGATTTCACCTGGGGGATACAGAAATGCACAAATACACAATATATTCTACTGTTTCACGAATGTACTTTGAACTGGCAAGCGTGCATTCGATATGCCCTACTCTCGCCATTATTATTATTATTATTCAGTAGGCTAAAAGCAAACGACTACTTAAATTGTTTGATAAAATTCCCCTGCTCTTTAATAAGATTTCACTTTAGTATTAAATAAATGAATTTTCCCCCATTTTTAATTTTAACATGAATTAACAAACAAACATTTTCGCAAAATCACCTTCTCCGATGATGTAATGGAGCTGTCAGTAAAGATTGGATTTAATGAACTCAGCTCTTGGTTCCCTGGAAAGCCATCGTTTCCATGCAGTGAGACCCAGCTTTGAATGGAATCCGTTATAGAGGTTATGGATGAGCCAGTCGACATGTTTACCAACGACGCCCACTTCTTCAACGAAAGATAGCTGGCCAGTTGAGGTCGAAAAACCCGACTACTGTCTGGTGTCTCCTGTAATGTCATGACATTTACGAAAGAACTTTCATAAATTTGGTTGAAGCTGGTTAGAACCTGCATATCGGATATCTATCGTGAATGTAGCAAGTAGACGTTCACGTAATTACTACAGGTATAGTAGCCGCGTGTGAACAGGAGTGTGCATAGCAGCATGCACAACAGCATTAAACATTCACTGTGTAGGAAGCTTGCGTAAGCGTAAAGTGCGAACGCATGTTTCCATCTTTGTGTACTCAGTACGTGGATTATATAAAGTTGCAAAACTACGCAGTATTTTGTGCTGATATTCAACACGTTTCATATTTCCCCCTACGTGAATATTGTTTTTTCTATTAGTATAATATAGGATGCTGTATTATTATAAATTATTATAAAGAACATAACTCCTCTAACCCTCTACCATTTACATTGTTTGATGTACGCATTTTTTTTATTTAAGCAACCATTTTTCTGAATGTAACTATCAGTTGAATCGAGAATTACCTGTGCTTGATTGTTGTTCTCGTCTACGAAGCCGCCTTGTAGGTGAGGACTTCCAGTGTTTTTGCAGTTTGGAGTAGCACCGTGTGGTGGCTGAGAACGCCGAGAGGACGAGGCAACTACAAACAAGCAAACCTTTAAATACCTTATCTATTTATCTGCACAAACCGACATATACTTATGAAGGTTAAACAGCCTATATTGATAGTAGAAGACTTAGTTGTTGTTGGCAATCGTGTGTAGGCCGTGTTCATCAGACGGCTGGCTGGACGAGGCAACTAAAGAAACCAAACCAGTATATGTGTTTATAACTACGTATTTGTCCACAAATTCCAATAATAACGGTTGAACTTCCTATTGGATACTAGAATGATTTCATGCATCTGGTGTTGAACTGATAGCAATGTTTGTAAGTTATTATAGCAGTGTCTTTTATGAGACTGCACCTTGTATATGTTGAGGTCCTGCTATGGAGTCACTATTGGGAATGTCATGTTGCAGAGGTAGAGAAGGTTGACTGGACATGGCAACTACAAACAATCAACCTTTTTAGTGTGCATAACTGTTTGTCTGCATAGCCTGACGTGTAATTCAACAAAATAAAAAAAACTGCTTAATATATTACATTTATACACTTTGTGCTGAAACGATATTACCAGCAATGTTGGAAATTCAGTGCAACAATAGCTTTAACGATATCGTACCTTGTGCGAGTTGTACCTTGACTGGAGTCTCACATTCAGGGATTGTTTCATACAAGTGACCTGACGCACTTCCTGAACATCCTGAAGAGCCTGAACATTCCATTGCAAACGTTGCTCGTCCCTATATTAGAGACATGCTCTTAGTACAGGCCCGGGATTTGGAGTTTAGAGGGCAAAAATAGTGTTACTTAATATACCATCAGGCTTTTACATATGCACGTCTGAACGAATACATTCCACACCCTACAAGCATACACATATTACACTTGAAGCAATACCTGGTAGTCGTTTCTCTGACGAACAGAATTTGCAAACCAGATTGCCTGCTCAGTTTGAGCGATTCCTACTTTGGCTTGCTTTCTTCTCCTCACCAAACACCTAGAACGATGTTATTACCTAATACAGACATTAACAATTCTTGCGTTCAAAACAGCTTTAAACCTTACCGTCAATGTTCACAATAACATTTTGTCTATGCTGTTCTCAGTTATATCTTTACATACTTATATGAAGTGAGAAAGTAACTGCAAGATGCGATATTTAGTGAGAATGAATTAAACTAATAAATTAATACAATAACCAAAACGGTTTACCATAGGAAGTAAGTCACACCAGCAAAGATACTGACAGCAGCAGTAGCACCTACCAAAGACCCAACAATAAGGATATGGTTGACACCTGAAAAGCCAATAAACACAACTGAGTACTTCAATCTCTATATAAGTCTTAAACAGCCAATTTTTACAGGTTACAAGCGACTTACATCCTACTGCATATGATTCAACTAAATCACCTTTATTTGGCATGATGGTATAGTGTATTGCAAAATGGCTTTCAGGATTCAAGGCAACAACTTTAATCCAAACAGATGTTTCCTTAGAGAAGAACGTGCTTGGCTTTACTGAACCGCACACTTCTCCCTTCACGGATTTGACTCCCTGTGACGTTGTTTCTCCATACATGATGAAGCCGGACTGACAGCTATCTAAAAATAATGCAACTATTACATTAACTTTGTCACTGGCATTGGTGTGCACCCAGCTATACTTGAGGCTGATATTTGACACGTTTAGCACAGATAATTCTGATTCGTGATATAGTCCTCTTCATTCTGCATCCATTTGCTTAAATTTGGCATATTCAGACTTGATAATTGAAATGCTCTAACTCTGTCATGCAAAATACAGATGAGTACCTGATGCATTTGACTGTGGGAAATGCAGTGACAAGAATCTTAGTGAGATGCCAGAAGAAGCACCACTAGTAACCACCTGCCAATCACATGTGATCACAGACATCTCATCACTAGGCCAAGTTACATTTCCCGAATTTCCATTCAGGATCACTTGACAGCCTGCAACTATATAAAACGTTATGTTACTCTATATATACTGTCTTATTTTTATTATTTTTTTTTATTTTTTTTTATTTATTTAGGCAATTATCCATCATATACAATACATTGCATACTTTTACAATAAAAATTTGAATTCATAAATTGGATAATTACCAAGGATATATACACAAAAAGCATGACTAGCACACTTATTTACATTGTGGTCCTTGTTTTGCTATGCCTTAATTGAATCTAACAATTGTACTACTATCAGAACAAACTATTGAAATATACAGATTTGTAGTTTTAATCGGTCATACAATGGTACATTTTCACAAGATGATACAAACTTTTCTTATGCCTATAATTTCACCCGAATTCTTTTAATGAAAAACATACTCCTCTGCCTCTAATGATTCCACCTTTTCCATCAGGAATTTCTTAACACTATACTTAAAACTAGAATAAACAGAATTTGTCCTAACTTGCTGTGGTAGAGAGTTCCAAGCTTCAATTGCAGTATAAGTAAAAGAGTTTTTCCCACTGCTTCCCACCCTCGGTTTAAAGATAGACATCTCACCTTCCCTTGTATTGAAACTATGGACTTCTGACGTTAACATGAAACCTTCTGTCATATATTGTGGGCCGAGATTATGTAATATTTTAAAAACCCTATTGACCTTCAGTTGCATTACCCTAAACTCTACAGGAACCCAATTTACAGCCTTGAACTCTCTAGCACCTATGTGTGCTCTAGAACCTAGGTTGAGAACACATCTAATAGCTTTAGATATAGCTTATAGCTTATACTACTATATCACCCTGTATAAGGAAATATTGAAATAATGCATGAGTTTTAAGACATTTTTAGTTTACCCGATCATGTTGTATCCCCTACTGCAATTCTATACATGTTGTATCAGTGTCTGAAAAGGGCTCACACCTGAGCAAAGGTCCTGCACACAGGCACTTGGAACATTTCAATAAAAAATAGTGTAAATAAACACGAAATGTATTTACTACCAAAGTCTTAATGTTTATCTACTCTCTTTCGCCTATTATTGCCAATAACTTCCTGTGAATGCCGTTCAAATGCTCCTCTCAGTAACACACAAGTACATTGCACGCACGTCACTGTGCACAAAACAACAAGACACAAACAACAATTCTTTTATTCATTATTCTCTTTATTCTTGTTGTTTGTGCACAGTGGCATATGTGTGGTGTATCTGTTGCAGAAGAGCAAGTGTACAGCATTTACAGGAAGTTATCGGTAATGCCGTAATAATAGGCGAAAGAGAGTAGAGAAACTTTAAGACTTTGGTAGTAAATTTCCTGGATGATCTAGGGTCGAGTTGAAAGTGAGTGTGAGCAGGAATATTGCTATTTTAGATTTAGATTTAGATTTTGAAATTTATTTACGCTTTCAAGTATATTACATTTTTACATATATCACAAGTTTTTTAAATAAGTACAGTGAGGGAGGGCGAATTGACTATACAGTCTTCGAGTCAGCCACTCCGCTAATTACAGTTAGTTACTTAAATTTGATTTAAGACTTGAATCATGAATGACAATACGCTTGGAAAATACAAAAATATATATGAGCGTTGTTATGAAAAAATAATAACTGCATAAATAATACCTGCATAAGTAAACATGCAAAATTACCCTGAGTCCACACACCACAATACAAAATATGCATATGCAGGTCCCAAATATATATATATATATATATATATATATAGACTATCAAAAAAGAAAAGTGCTCACAGACGCATAGCTGAACAATAATATACAGGGAAAGAAAAAATTAAAGCACAATAATTGAATATCACACAACACTCAGCACAGGCAACAAATCACACACAACGAAAAGCCAGCACAAGGGCCGCATCACGACACCAGAGACTCCACAACCTGGAAAATAATCCCGCAAATACAAATACAATCCATCAACTACCATCACACGTTGAAGCCGCAAAAAAAAAAAATATAAATGAAAAATATATAGAGCCAATTGGATAACAGCCATTGCACATACTCAGTACACTTGTAAACATGCAAACAAAACCAAAACAAGCACTTCACAAAGTGAAACCATTTAATCAAAAAAAGAATAAAAAAAACAGGAAACAAAACAACTGCATTACAAGGCACATGCATGCCCATAGAACAAGAAATACAGTTTCATTTGAACAAAATCAAAAATATATATATAGGGAATATATTATAGATTCTATTTATATGAAACACACCAAGCAATTCACTAACCAACTAAATAACAAAGACAGACAGCACATGACTGCATTACACAGCACAATTGCCCATGCAGGGAGAACAAGAATCATATGATTGCATTGTGAACAAAACCAAAATAAATATATAAGGAAAAGATTCGATTGATATGAAACTGAATAAGCTGTGCATCACAGATCCCATACTGCATGCTATTACAACAAAACTCTGTACACAACACGTACACCAACTGGACAACAGCCACCGCACATCACTCATTACACTTGTAAACATGTAAACAAAACCATAACAAACAATTCACAAACCAATTAAATAAAACAAAAACAAAAAAACATAATTGCGTTACAAGGCGCAATGCCCATGCAGGGAGAACAAGAAACACAATTTGCATTGTTATCAGTCTATCATGTCATTGGTGATATTGTGGAGCAAGACAAGACAGTGACCTTTTCTTCCCTTAGACAGTACCGTAGGCCTAGTCCTGGAGATTTTATACTCAATTAAGAATAAGTATTTTGTTTTACATGCAATAAAGATTTAATGAATGAATGAAGTACTTTCACCTTTCGTGTTACGCTGCTACAGTAGTTGTATTTTACAAGACATCCTACTTGCCTCAGTACTGCACGAAGGGTCGTTGTCGTAACAGGTACTACAGATATGTACCCGAGGTAGTTTTAGGTTGTTTAGTATTATGTTTATATTTTTATATGAGGTATGTTTAGGGTTAGGGTTAGGGTTAGGGGAGGGGGGGGGTACTGTTCACAGTTCACAGTGAAAATAAACTGCTTTTCACATTTCACAGTGAAAATAATGCTCTTTTCACAGATCACGGGAATAATCCATTTTACAGCTAAAATTTCAGACACATAAGATAAGGTCCTAGAAGTATACAAGTGTATTTCTTGACTAACAACTAACAACACTTCTGAAAATCAAAAATATGCTTGCGCAGTAGTCATGCTTATTTATACATGTGTGTGCAGGGGCGGATCCAGGATTTTTGAAAAAGGGGTGTCCAGGCAGAAATAAAGGGCACTTTTTCCTGCTTAATTTTTCTGGTGTTTGAAAAAGCTGCCGAAGGCCACTTAGGGGGGGTTTGGGGTGGGCTTGGGACCTCCCCCAAGATTTTTTTTTAAAAATTGGTGCATTCTGAGAGCATCTGAGCAGTAATTCTGATGTCTAGAATGCAAAAATTTATCAGATCCGGTCCCCCGGACGCCTGCGTACCCCTCTTTGCCCATTTCTAGATTTTTATAACGAATTTACATAGATATAAGTAAATCTTTATCAGAAAAACTAGCGCTAAACAAGATTTTTTTATGGAGACAATATAAGAGAAGTGTGTGTGTGTGTGTGCGCGCGCGCGCGTGTGTGTGTGTGTGTGTGCGTGTGTGCGTGCGTGCGTGCATGCGTGCGTGCGTGCGTGCGTGCGTGCGTGCATGAATGTTCTCCACGATAGAAAACTTTCCAGAACATCTGGATGAAGCCGTGCATAGAGCGCATATAGTACAGTCCATACCGCTGCGTAATTAACAGTGTCCTGATAAGAAGAAATACGGTCAGCATTTTCTCAACTGCAGACAAATGAAGTGGTCAATCGCCTTCTCTTTCAGCACGTAACAAGGTCATGATGATCAGGACAGGCTTCATTAGGCAGTCAACCCACAGTTTGTTGTCCTACTGCGCCTACTGATAGTTTCCAAGTATGTCATGAGGTTGTCAATGTTAGATTCCTCGTCCTTGTTCAGTAATGACCATATAGTTCTTCCAGCACAATTCTAAAGCGCTCGGGTTTTCTGGAAACTTCTTGCAGAGAAAAGCTTGGCACCCGAACAAATGTTGACTTGAGAATGTCTTCCAGGCCGCTGCAGCCATCAAGGGCCCTGCTGCCACACAGAACCATCAAACAGTGTATACCTCCTAACCTGGCACAAACCTTGGGAAGAGATCTGGTTCATTCAGGTTTTTGGCTGCCATTTTTAATTGTTTTTATTCAAAATGTTCAACCTGTATTAACTGGCATACATCAGATTTGGAACAGCTGGTTTGAATTGTGGAGAAATTGTTTAAAACATGTTATATATGTCCCTGAACATAGCCCAGACTAGTCACGTTGGAATTGCCGCTATCGCGTAAAAAGAAAAACTATGAAAAGTTCATACCTCAAGAACTACACCAGATAGAGTATAATGGTATTGTACCAAAATGTCCGCAATACCAAGTTTATATACATGTTTCCATACATACTTGGGGTCTAAATCAATATTGTCGCCGTTATTCACAAAAAAGTGTATTTTCTGGTGGCCATGTTGGATTAGAAAAAATGCTCAACACATACGAGCTGGCATACATCGGATTTGGCATCAGCACATAAACATTGACAAGAAACAGCAAAAAAACATTATATATGTCGAAAAACAAGCTTACACTATTATGACCATTACGCCTAGCCTGGACTAATTGCAATTTATTTTGTCTGTGAACTGTGAATGGACCACATTGCGTGAAGCGTGATTTAGCTTTTATTTAGTCTGTGAACTGTGAATAAGAGGTCTCTTCCTCGCTGAATCTATGCATGTCAGGCGCAGATTTAGGCCGGTTTGCACCGGTTTCCAGAAATCGGTCACAGGCTTCAAAACTCACCAAAATGCACCAAATATAGCCTAATTTTTTAAAAATTCCGGGGGGCATGCCCCAGACCCCCTAGCCTGCAGACAACATATGGAAACTATATATATATAATACGCACACACACAC